GAGGAGCAGCTGACGATTCACTGTCAATTGGTGTGGGCCGAAAGTTTTTGGATACTACGTTTGTGGAATTCAGCGTAAACAAGGGTTCCAACACCGTGCCTGATGTGGTTTCTGTGCTTGAAAGGGCCTTGACTGACAAAAGCATGCAACTTCCGGAGAGCATTGGGGAAGTTGCTCTGGATGGCACAACCAAGGCATGACTTGAAGTTGTTTCTCAGCCTAATTGGTTCACAGCAAGCTGCTCCTACGCATGGTACTGAAATGGCAATTAAAGCTTTGCTACGGTTTCTGCATGGGGATGTTGGCACTTATTTGCAGCTTCCATCGCCGAAGTATGAAGAATTGATAATTGGAGCGGCACGACACTGCATTCTGCATTCTTTTTCAGATGCTTCTTTTGCCCCATACAGATTCAATGGCAGGAAAGGGATTACAGGTGGTGTGGTTTTCAAAAATATACAAGGAAAATTGCAGATTTGTTTCTCCAGCTGGCAGACAAGGCTAGGGGTCAAAGTCGTTTGCAGAGCTCCTTGTACTATGGAAAGCGAGAAGCGCATTTCAAAGGCGAAACATGAGACTCTGGATGTGAATATTCATCAAGCAACTCTGAGTGCGCGCAAGGAGTTTAGAAAAATGATGTGCGGTGGTGAGAGCTAGCAGGCTGCACACCACCGAGGAGTGCAAAACATTTTTGTCAGCACCTTGCACAAGGATGACAACACAAATCATGATGAGAAGTGTAACTAGTTTCATCCTTCATGCATGGAAAATCCATGGATGATCTTCGAGGCCCATTGTGGTTCGAGAAAAGCGCGCTCCCGCTCACAGCTTCAGAAACGAATTGGAAAACATAAGGGTGGTTGGCCGGGGATCAGTGTGCGTTGATTGCTGCGTGGAACATTTAATTATGTAACGATGAACAGTTAAGGCTCACCTCGTTGGGAGGCCATGTTGCACCCAATCCATTTTGGCTTAAGATGGGGTGCCCAAGTCTGATTTTGTTTCCCAGCCCCAACGGTCTTCTCACCACAAAATAGCCTCTACTTGCCGGCAGCATAATTTTTGAATTGCATCCTGGGTGTATCTAGTGGCCACGGATGAATCGACACGTGGTCGACAAACCGCACAAATGCAACAACAAATTTGTAAAAAATAAAAAAGGTTGGCCAGGGATAAGTGTGCGCTGATTGTTACGGTGGTATTGATGGCGGTTTTGGCAATGATGGCGTAAACCAAAAACATATTTCTTAATCACAAACTCGTGGTTTGGACAAAAATCAGTTGACAGCAGGAAACATATTTGCATGCCGATGTGTCACGCCCCCATTGGCCAACTGAATGCGTACTGAAAGCACTTGACTTCATGTCTTTCCTTTTTCTCAGGGTTTTGGCGCGCAAGTGCTGTGCCCAGCAGTGTCGTGTTTGTTTGTGCACTTGACACACTTAAAACATTAGTTCGTGTTTTTGACGACTGGTCTTTTTGCCGCAACACGAAAAAAACAAATCCAATTGCGAATTGGGGGTGTTCATGGTGCGGCGTGAATCTGTGATTTCGGATCGCACAGCAGCAAAACCCACAGACATGCAATGTTGTAACCCACAAATTGAATGATATTTGATCGTTGTTTCTCCAAAATTCAAACCAACTTGGAATATGTAGTTAAATTCATTTTGCTAAATTCACGGTAACCAACATAATTTGACTTTCAATCAGGACCCAATCAAAATCCTTCCAGCCACAGATGTCGGCCCCAGAAACGCTGCTCCTGCCTGTTTGGAATTCGTGGTGTTTGATGTGTTGAATTTCATCATATTGATCACCCAAAACGGTTGTTTTTGAAGTTCAGCTTGGTTGCGGTTCAACTTGGTTGCTGCGCGGTTGTTTGCTTTTAACAGGTCTGAAGGTGATGAAGGGAAGGCACCGCCAGAGGAGAAGAGCTCCACCCGAGTTTGTGCGGAGGCTCGCATTTCATTAGGGGCGTTAATTGAATTCTTGTAGACAGTTGTTTGCTTGGAATTTCTACAGTGGACCTTTGTTGCAACGTACCTTTTGCGCTGATGAGGATATCCAGAAATCAATGTTTTTTCATATTATTTGTTGGGTTTCGTTTTGTGTGTAACCAAAAACATGTAACCCATGCAAAGATGCTCCTGTTGCAAATGGTTCGTTGCAGACCACTCTGGATGCCGTCGCTGTAGTCGGACGTGGCATGCTGGCGACTGGATCTGCAACTTGATTTGCAACATGATTTTGTGTCATGGTGCCGAAACTCTTGGGGCACTTGCTTAACTTTCGTTCATGTTTGATGTATATAATTTAATATATATATATGTATGATTATATGATTATATGATTATATGATTATATGATTATACGATTATACGATTATACGATTATACGATTATACGATTATACGATTATACGATTATACGATTATACGATTATACGATTATACGATTATACGATTATACGATTATACGATTATACGATTATACGATTATACGATTATACGATTATACGATTATATGATTATATGATTATATGATTATATGATTATGTGATTATGTGATTATGTGACTATGTGACTATGTGACTATGTGACTATGTGACTATGTGACTATGTGACTATGTGACTATGTGACTATGTGACTATGTGACTATGTGACTATGTGACTATGTGACTATGTGACTATATGACTATATGACTATATGACTATATGACTATATGACTATATGACTATATGACTATATGACTATATGACTATATGATTGTATGATTATATGACTATATGACTATATGACTATATGACTATATGACTATATGACTATATGTATATATAATATACACCACACATAACTAGTAATTATGTATGCACGTGTATATATATATATATATACATGGATATGTGTGTATACATGTCTCATGACCCGTGTTTTTTGTTGTATTCACATTTGAACATTGCTGTTGCCGGACCATTTCATTTTGGTATTTGTACTGGCGCACTGTTGGCCGAGAGACAATTGAACTGCTTTCAATTCTTGACCAATTTGTTTAGATTTTGCTAGACTTTTCACCGTCCCGTGACCAACCAAAACTACTGTAACTTGGATTGCAAGGCCATCCTGACAGTTGTCCAGTACACCGCTTATCCGATCAAGGAGGATTGCATCACTGTCTTGAGTCGTCGAGAGACACAATAGATAGGAATTGTGAGGACCCTATGACACTGAGAAGGACTCTTCTACTTAAAAGATTGGTTGATGCCACACAGTGAGGACTATGACATTGGATCTGCTCTTGGAAAAATCTTATCAATGAGCCAGCTGCTGTGCAGGGCGTGATTTGCGTGATGGATACTACTGGTGAGTACTTCACCCCCTATTTGAAAAAGCCGGGGGCTCAGAGCATCCGAACGTTCTGGACTTGAGTGTATTTATACATGTTTTGTCTATTAAACTATTGTTTTCCCAATGTATCTTTGCCTGTGCAGTGCGTGCCAGACATCACAACATCTCTCCATTTCATTGCAGTATTTGTAGTGGATTAACCTCATGTGGTGAGTGTTAATAACTTGATTCACCAGTGTCTTTAACTGTGTTGAGCTGCTGCTTGATTGCGTTGTTTTTTTCAATTGACCGAATGTCTTTGCGAGGGGGACATGAAATTGAGCTCCCTGCACAGGAAAGCAGCCACCAATGTTCCCACCTTCCGCTACGGATGAGTGCGATGACTGGTGGGTTTGTACACAAGGAGATTTGTTGGGCACAAACACTTTGCTGGTGGTAGAGTGGAGAGGACCCAAAGATTTGTGCACAGTTGCAACTCCTAGAATCATTTCCGAACAATATACGTCTGTCGTATTCTGCGCTGAAATAATATTAAATTATAGCCATTTCCGAATTTCCCTTTGCAATCTTTGCATTGAAACTATAAACGCCTGGGCCGTCTGGGCATTTGCATTTGTTGCTTCATCAGGAAGTTGCTCCGGAGACGCTGAAAACGGCGCTAGAGAGTTAGCTAATGAATGAAGCGAATAGAATGACTAGTGGTGGCTAAAGGCTGGAAGGTTGGTATGTACTGAAACAGGCACTTGAAGGAGAACAAGAAGAGCCAGAACGTATGCTGTTGTCATGCTGTTGTCAGGCAAAGGGCAGCAAAAAAAACTATTTGGCTAATCTCATTTTGACAGTCGAAAGTCAGATTTTATGTGCTGGACAACAACCAATGATTCTGACAAAGAAGGGCACATGTCTTCGCAAAGGTTCTGAGAGACCAATTTCTTCCTTCAAGTCTCCCTGCAAATAGAAGTCGGACTTCTACAACAAATTGAAATGCTGGCTTGGCAAAGTCACAGCAAAGCTGTGAAAGAGATCCCAGCAAAGTACAATCAATCGGTCCAAAAGGTTTTGCATAAGTGTGCCATAAGTGTGCAACTCTGCAAAGGTTCTGGGATATGGATCCCAGAAGTCGAAAGAGCTGGCTCTAGAGTTGATACACAAAATGCATCAAAATACTCCGTTGAATTCATGTTTTACCCTACGGACATTCACTTCGTTACACTAGATCAGCGATTAGAAGGGCAAACCCGCCATGATGGCATGCAGAATCCATGTGACAAGCTGTGACAAGCTGTGATAAGTCTCAAGTTTATGCCTACAATGTCTGCAAGAGAGTTTTCAAGTGTTGATATGTCTCTGCCTGCTTTCTTCGTGGCCTCGGTGCTCTGTGGATCCCTTTCGTAGCATGGATTCAAGGGGATTTGTGGCAATCGTATCGCACATAGCAAAAACATGCAACATGTTGTGCTCACCTTTTTATGAAAGCACAGGCAAAACCACACTGGATGTTTTCCCATGTTTTCCCTGTGTGCGCCTTATTCCGTTCATTTGTTTGTTGTGGGCAGTGTTTGACTGGTTAGTCCTGCAGGACTTTCGACACACGAACATCATTTACGACTTTAGTCCGGCTCATTCTCAAATTTTCGTTTTTTGGGAAGCCATGGCCAAAATATCTGCAGAAAGAAACGGAAAAATGGAGGTGGGGCCAAACGGCTTCTCTTAAATATTGGATGTCATTTGCAGGGCCACGAGAACTTTGTCAGTGATGCTGGTGCATATTTGTTGGGTAACATGAGGAGAACTGAAACAAAGAACATTGGTCACGGACAAAGGAGGACCGTATTGAAAGACAAGATCAGACAAGTCACTGTAATGCAAGGCATAGCAGCTCGGGTGCTGTTTGGAATCGCAAGGTTTTTAGAGTTCATTCAAAGATGTAATTCGACATCTTTTAACATTTTAGCACACGAGTCAGCAAGTTGCTTACACCTGCAAAATAAGATACAATGAGAAAAACATGAGAAACAAAATCAGAACCAAAATAAGAAACAAAATAAGTGCGTTTGTAGGTTTCTGATTTGAAACAATCGCACCTGCCGTCACCTGCCTCTAACAGGTGGGACCAAGGCGTTCTGAGCGTCTGCGGAAAACAGAGCCACAGTCAAAGAGGCTTCTTCCGCTCATTTGCTCATCATGGACACATGATGACTCACATGACAAAGCAATGACACATGTGATGAGACTTGATTTGAGCGGGTCTTGTGAGAGGAATTGGCAACTGTCCATTTGGGCCATGGGTGAGCTGCTCAAGGAAAAGTGAGGATCATGCAGGATCCAGGTACACAACATACCTAGCATAGTTTTTTTTAAGATACCGCCAATGCTCCGCATGTGTTCAGCCAGGTTTTGCAGCCAGCCGAGTAGCAACCATGGGTTCCAGCTCGTGTATACTCACTTTGAAAATTCAATGTGGTAAATGCAACACAGACTTCCCAAATAGCCCTGATATTTGCATATTCAACCCACAGTCAACAGACCAACCAGTCTTCGCTGCGTTCCTTGGCCGTTCCTGGGGTCATGATATCCATGTTCTTTCAATGAAGTGGTTGCGCAAAGTGGCCGGGCTTCGCTGCAGAGGTCAGGAACGTGCATGAAAATGTGCTTCAGATCCCAGTTGTGAACGTGCTTGTTTTATTTGGTTCCATGGAGGGGACATCAGCTCCGGTAAAATGCAACTTGGCGCTGCGTGTGGCTGCACTCAAAGTGTAAAGAGATTAGACATCTCACATCATGATACATAGCTAGATAGATAGATAGATAGATAGATCCCTACATACATACAAACATACATACACACACATACACATACACATACAAATACACATACACAGACACATACACATACACATACATACAAATGCATACACATACATACACATACGCATACACACACATACATACACATACATACACATACATACACATACATATACATACATACACATACATACGCATACATACACATACATACACATACATACACATACATACACATACATACACATACATACACATACATACACATACATACACATACATATACATACATACACATACATACACATACATACACATACATACACATACATACACATACATACACATACATACACATACATACACATGCATACACATGCATACACATACATATACATATACATACACATACATACACATACATACACATACATACACACACATACACATACACACATACAGACATATACATACACATACATTCATATATATATACACAGATACATAGATACATAGATACATAGATAGATAGATTAGATTAGCTTGGATTAGCTTGGATTAGATTATATAGATGATTAGGTTAGATTAGATCGGATTCGATTGGCTTAGATTGGATGGATAGATGCATAGATAAATAGATCGATAGATAGATAGATCCCTACATACATACATACGTACATACATACATACATACCTACATAAATACATACATACATACATACATAGATACATAGATACATAATAGATACATAGAAACATCGATACATAGAGACACAGATACATAGATAGATTAAATTAGATTAGATTAGATTAGATTAATTTGGATAGATAGAACGATAAATAGATAGATTTGATTAGATAAGATTAAATTAGCTTAGATAAGATTAGATTGAATAGAAGATAGATAGATTAGATAAGATTAGCTTTGCTTTGCTTAGATTAACTTAGATTAGATTAGATTGGATAGATAGAAAGATAGATAGATTAGATTAGCTTTGCTTAGCTTTGCTTAGATTAGCTTAGATTAGATTGGATAGATAGAAATATAGCTTAGATTAGATTAGATTAGCTTAGATTAGATTAGATTGGATAGATAGAACAATAGATAGATAGAACGATAGATAGATAGATAGTTAGATAGATAGATAGATAGATAGAAAGATTAGCTTAGCTTAGATAAGATTCGATTAAATTGGATAGATAGAAAGATAGATAGATGGACAGATAGATAAGATTAGATTAGATGAGAGATTAGACTAGCTTAGATTAGATTAGATTAGATTAGATAGATAGATAGATTAGATTAGTTTAGTTTAGAATAGATTAGATTGGATAGATAGAAAGATAGATAGATAGATAGAAAGAAAGATAGATTAGATTAGATTAGTTTAGCTTAGATTAGATTAGAGTGGATAGATAGAAAGATAGATAGATTAGATTAGATCAGATTAGCTTTGCTTAGCTTTGCTTAGATTAGATTATATTAGATTGGATAGATAGAACGATAGATTAGATTAGATTAGACTAGCTTAGATTAGATTGGATTGGATAGATAGAAAGATAGATAGATTAGATTAGATTAGCTTGGCTTAGATTAGATTGGAGTGGATAGATAGAAAGATAGATAGATAGATTATATAGATTAGATTAGATTGGATTAGCTTAGCTTAGCTTTGCTTAGATTATATTAGATTGTATAGATAGAAATATAGATAGATAGATAGAAAGATAGATAGACTAGATTAGATTAGCTTAGCTTAGATTAGATTACTGTGGATGGATAGAAAAATAGATAGATAGATTAGGTTGGGTTAGATCAGGTTAGATTAGCTTTGCTTAGATTAGATTATATCAAATTGGATAGATAGAAAGATAGATTAGATCAGATTAGATTAGCTTAGATTAGATTGGATAGATAGATAGAAAGATAGATAGATAGAAAGATAGATTAGATTAGATTAGCTTAGCTTCGATTAGATTAGAGTGGATAGATAGAAAGAAAGATAGATACTCTAAGTTGTGGAAGTCAAAGCGTTTCAATGAAATGTGCGTCCTAGGTGGGGGAGAAAATTCTTGAAGTCGGTGCGATGTTGCGTCCAGTTGGTGTTTATCATGTTTGTGTTTTCTCCAATTGATGGTTTATCGTGAGTTTTTCATGGATACCATGCAGATGGTTGTAGCTATTCCCTGGTGTTTTGGGAGTTTTAGCTTGGTAATAATGGACTTGTACATCACTGAATGGTGTCCTGTTGTCCTTGGACAGTTAGGCAGGCGGTGATGATGTAGCTCCGATTGGGTAGGCATTTGTGGCTCGCTCTGTTGTGCAAGATTCATACTACAAACACCGACGAATACTGGGTCGATGTTGTAACAAATGCCGATGACAAGATCTTGTGCCAAATCGTGGTGTGCCTATGGGGAAAGGCCCACATGGGCAGCGCCTATGACTTTCACTTACTGATGTATTTTTTGGCACTTCGCATAGGCACACGATGCTTACCTGTCATATCTTTTTGGGTTTGCCCACTATACTCCCAAAGATGAAAGATTGTGAGACATAACTGCGCACGCGCGTCCGAATGGGGATTTGGAAAATTTGGCAATAGAAAAGTGCACTGCCAGGGATCTAAAAATAACACTTCTACATAGTGCGTCCCATGGTGTTTTAGACCTGGTTGCATTGACTTGTTTGACTTCCTGAATGCGCGGCGTCCCATGCAGTTTTCACCTTGGTTCCACATATGCACTGACTTTCACGTCCCAGAGTAGATTATATAGATTAGATTAGGTTAGATTAGCTTTGCTTAGCTTTGCTTAGGTTATATTAGATTGGATACTGTAGATAGAAAGATATATTAGATTAGATTAGATTAGCTTAGCTTAGATCAGATTGGATAGATAGAAAAATAGATAGATAGATAGATAGATAGATAGCTAGCTAGCTAGCTAGATAGATAGATAGATAGATCGATACGTAGATTGGCTTAGATTAGATTAGATTAGATTGGATGGATAGAAAGATAGATAGATAGGTAGAGAGAGAGATAGATAGATAGATAGATAGATAGGTAGATAGATAGATAGAGAGATAGAGAGATAGAGAGATAGATAGATAGATAGATAGATAGATAGATAGATATATAGATTAGATTAGATTAGCTTAGCTTAGATTAGATTAGATTAGATTAGATTAGAGTGGATAGATGGAAAGATAGATAGATAGATTAGATTAGCTTAGATTAGGTTATATTAGATTGGATAGATAGAAAGATAGATAGATAGATAGAATTAGATTAGCTTAGCTTAGATTAGATTAGATTGGATAGATAGAAAGATAGATAGAAAGATAGATAGATAGAATTAGATTAGCTTAGATTAGATTATATTAGATTGGATAGATAGAAAGAAAGATAGATAGATCGATAGAATTAGATTAGCTTAGCTTAGATTATATTAGATTGGATAGATAGAAAGATAGAAAGATAGAAAGATAGAAAGATAGAAAGATAGATAGATAGATAGATAGAATGATAGAATTAGATTAGCTTAGCTTAGATTAGATTAGATTGGATAGATAGAAAAATAGATAGATAGATAGATAGATAGATAGAATTAGATTAGCTTAGATTAGATTATATTAGATTGGATAGATAGAAAGAAAGATAGATAGATGATAGATGGAATTAGATTAGCTTAGCTTAGATTAGATTAGATTGGATAGATAGAAAGAAAGATAGATAGATAGAATTAGAATAGCTTAGATTAGATTATATTAGATTGGATAGATAGAAAAATAGATAGATAGATAGATAGATAGATCAGATTGGGTTTCGCCAAATTTAAAAGTTTAGTCCACCCTGGCAAATCGGGCGCTGCAGGCAGGGCGCAGTTCTGTGCCTTGTTGAGAAGGTGCGAATCGCGATTTTATAACTCGCCGATAAGTCACAGTTCCCATAGATCTTTTGCAGAAGTGGGGAGGGTTGAGAACATCAACTCTAACTGTGGAAGAGAGACAACAATCTATTGGGAGGCGATCATTTTGAGAGTGCTAAAGCGTTTCTTGAATTCTGCTGGGTCCGAGGATATAAGGCATGGGTAATTCTTCTTTGGATACCTTGGCTTGTGCATTGTGCGTTACAGGGAGTAGATATGTAATTGACTTGTGATTGGGTCTGCAATCAGGGTCATGAAAGTCAAGAGTAACAACTCCACCAGGTTTTTGGCTGGATTTTCACACTTACTTGGACATGATTGGCAACATTGGTCCCAACTTGCTTTCCTAGCTGAGTAAGGAATGTAAGGACCATGTTTCACCATGATTCTCCATCGCATTTCCGGTCCTGCTTGCGATG